ATGCACATTAAATTTACTTCACTCTTTAGAAAAAGAGGTTTTTAATCCCTGTTACAGAAAAAGTTTCTCATTCAATCAGAAACCTTCCAACTATATCAGTTTACTTCATTATACCAGTTTAGTAATACATAAAAAGCTTCAGCTGCCTTATCTGCATTCATATAATCACAAAATGATGCCTGTGTTTACTGGCTTTTGTTTAAATTAAGTAAGCAAATGACTCTTTGTTTTTGTTAACATTGTAGAATGATTCATATTTTACAAAGAAGACTTTACAACAGCTCTGAACCCAGCACCAGTTAACAGAGAGGGAAACATGGACAGCTGCTTCACTTTCCTTCCCTTTTCCAGGCTCCATCAGGGAGGAGAATGGTGTTCGCTGGCATGGCTGCCCATACTGCTCCAAAGAGTTTAAGAAGCCCAGCGACCTTGTTCGCCATATCCGCATCCACACCCATGAGAAGCCTTTCAAGTGCAAACAGTGCTTCAGAGCTTTTGCTGTCAAGAGTACCCTGACAGCACATATGAAAACGCACACGGGTATCAAGGCCTTTGAGTGTCAGTGCTGTCTGAAGTGCTTTTCCACCTCTGGCAGCATGAAGGTACACATGCGGCTGCACACAGGTGAGAAGCAGGTCCACTTCATGAAAGGGTTACACTTAAAGCCTAAGTAAAGTGAACTTTTTAACACACATTTTTTTCACTTTTACCTGCTGACGTTTCATGTCACATCATACACCTTTAAAGCCAACATCATCAGTATTTGCATAAGTTAAAGGAGACATATATTATTAGCCTTTGACCTAGTGCTCTCAGTTTCCTGGCTGCCTCTACCATTTGGTATTTAGCTATAGGTTATGATAAATTATACAACAAATCAATTACAAAAGCTGGACCTGTGTAAATATAGTGGTGCTGCTACAGCTAGAAGCCTCCTTTACACCCACGCGTTTACTTCTTCTCAGAGACATTACCTAAAAGAGCCATCCCCTAGACATGAAATGTCAGCCTTAGTGTGACTAAACAAATTTGTAACAGTTATTTATTAAACCGCTACAGTATGTAATGGCACTGTCTTTGTTAGGTGACTTTAGCTCTTATTGTGTGTTAGCTCTAAGCTAAGGCTTATGATAAATATGTTCTCAGCTGTATTTGTGCATATACAGTTTCAAATCTTTGTCACTTTCCCTTGTGCTGTCATGTGGTTTCATAAGAATATATATTGTCTCCTGCTAAATGAAAGGTTTTGTAACATTTTGTAGTCAAAAATGAAATAAAACTATGAGCTTACATATTTTGGTTTAAGTGTGCTTAAACCAAAATATGGTTTCCCTTAGGGAGAGCAACATTTGAATATATTTTGTGTAATTAAAGCTTAGTTTTCAAATCTTTAGTATAAATGTCAGTATCAGTTTAATTCTCTAAATACTAATTTTCCAAAAGTGCCGTTTTCTCCCACTTTTCCTAGGTGTACGCCCTTTTCCCTGCCCTCACTGTGACAAGATCTTTCGTACATCAGGCCACAGGAAAACACACATTGCTTCTCACTTCAAAAGCTTGCAGCAGAAGAAACACAAATTTCCACGGAAAACCAACAAAGCCAAAGTGTCAAAGAGTAACCTACCTCTGCCTGATATCCCCCTGCAGGAACCCATCCTCATCACTGACTTTGGTAAGAGCCTGTCAGGCAGATGTGTATACACATGGATGGTGTTGCATCTATTTTTCCTGATAGTAACATAACCATTTGGTGTCTTTTGGGATGGAGTGGGATGCATTATAACAGTGCATAAATTAAATGAGTTTTCACATGGAGTTCCACATGTTTCTTGTTCACATGTTGCTTAAAAGGCCTCATCCCATCCCAGAATCCTCGCCTGGCTTTCCAGCAGTACCTGGAGGTGGTGAGCAATGACCGGCCTTATAAATGCCAGTTCTGCAGTAAGGCCTATAAGAAATCAAGCCACCTGAAACAGCATGTCAGGTAAGGCTTCTTTAAAACACTGCATATGAAGTTATATGAATGTGAGGGCCAGTGCAGTTAGTTTTGCAAGATATTTGATACATTTTTGCCATATATACCATATTAAAAATGGCAGTTTTATGTCGAAATATAACAACAATAGAAAAAAGAAAGTCAATCTTCATTCTGCAGAACATTATGTGCACCAGGGTGGACAAGCTATGAAATCAAACTGAAAGCAAATTTATTTAAATCTATATTTAAAACCCCTCAGATGACCTTCACTGTCAGTCCACAGTTAGAAGAATTTATATAATTTATATAAAAGTATATTATGTAAATGTATATAAATCAAAGGGACAGGTTGACATTACATTTATAGGACATATTCATGCTCTCCAGAGGGTGTATCCTACTCTCAGGTTAAATTGTCAGTGTTGCTAAAAAGGCATCTAGTTGCAAGATTAGTGTGGGTTTAAATTGTCAGTGCTGCTAAAAAGGCATCTAGTTGCAAGATTAGTGTGGAATTTTAAGTACTACTAATAAAACAAAGTTAATATAGCTTAGTTAATATAACTTTAGAAACAAAGTCATAAAATAGTTCAGCACTACAGTAAGATGAAATTAGGCAACTGAAAGTACAGAGAATGAAACTGACTGAAATAACAAACAGTGAAATAAGATGGAAATAGTAAAATAAACAAATAAAACATTAAAACATAGTGAAAGTGGCAAAATGCAAGTATGGCCAAGTATGTAAAATATACAAGAAATTTGTCTCCGGTACAGAACTGAGGCAGCCATCTGCATGCCGACACACATGCACACACACACACCGCTGACCTTCCGGTTGAGGGGAACGGCCGCTCTACCTGAGCCACAGCCACCCATATAGAGCCAGGGTTTAGTAACAGTCAGATGCATTCTGCTTGAGCATATGAGACTACACTCTGGCCTGTACTGCACATCAATTCAGCAGCGTAGGAAGGTGCCTGCCCATGAAGTGGTTTAAGCATAATCTGTAAAATCATTTCTAAAACTGATGGTAACCAGTGAAGAGAGGTCACAGCGAGAGTGATATAGTCTTTGCTATGCTGAGTAGCTGCATTTTATACTAACTAAAGGCATGATATTGTTGAAAACAACTTGTTTGTTAAACACGAGGTGACTACAGAAAAGTAACCCAGGTTTCTAGCTACAGGCTTGACATTGGCAGACAGAGCGATGACTCTTCTGCAGGATGGGGGGTGGATATTGGAAAACTGAGGACAATTCATTTTGATTCTTGGAAAAAGGAGGGGAGCAGCCAACATTTGATTTCTTAGAGTCGAAACAGTGAGGGTTAGAAGATGCCATCTTCTTCCACATAACAGTGGAATTAACTGTTTTTGAATAATGTGATGTAGTGGGAGAATTTATACAAAAAAGTGAATAAAAGATGACCAAGGATGGAGCCTTAGGAAATCCCACTGGTAAATGAGGCCACCAAAGAGAAGGCATCACCAAAAAATACTGGCTTTGTTTGACAAATATGATTTAAACCCCTCTAATTTTTGCACTGATGCAAACTAATTTTTTGTGGTGACACCTTTCTCAGGCCAAAATTAATATTTGACATGCTTCCCTGGAGAAAGAAAGCTTTCTAGGCAGGTGCTCCTTTCCACCGGCATTTAACAGAAAATTGATTGGTCTGTACAACTGATACAGTGTTCAAGTGGGCAGAGTTATACATCTCCAAAATATTTTCTAAACAGTTCTTACAAATTTAGCCGATATGTCAGTCAGCTAAGAAGAATAAAGTTGAGCTCACTAAATTTACTTTAGACTTTAGAATTTACTTAAGACTTAAGCTTATCGACACAGTCAGAAATAGAAGAGAAAACAGGGAGCGGATGATGAATTTGTTCAGGGTGATTTGAAAGTAGAGGGAGATGAGACTGGAAAGGCTGAATGAAAAGTACATAGCAGTTTGGAGGTGGACAGGTTTGATGTATCTTCAAAGCTAGATCCTGAAGAAAAGCACCATTAGTAAAAATGGAATAACTTTCAATCTTTGATTCCAAATACAAGGGGTAGGTATTTATGGTCAGGTAATGAGGGTCAAACTATCATGGGAACATTGTATGAATATCGTATGCTCATAGTCTGATTATCGCAGTATTAATACTGCAATCCAAAGGCTGTTTGAGACATGTATATTTATATTGCAAGCTTGTTGTAATACCTGACATAGATGAATTTCTGACATATAGTAGGAATGTTAAACTAACTTTAAAGTGCTCCTGTCAGTCATACAGAAAATAAGACATTGAAACAGCAGCACTAAGAATGGTAAGGAGCCCACTCAGTGAGATGCTCTGATTCATGTACAGTATCTCTGAATTTTCTGGCTTTTGCATTGGGACACACTTTCAGCATTTATCTTTAATTTAAGATTGACAGCGTATTCTAAATATTGATGCTGTGCCTGTATGTGGCTGGCACCTCCCCATTTGTCTTCTTTGACAGATGAAAGCCTTGTATCTCAGCACAGATTATCCATACTGTATCTGCCACTAGTAATAGCTCCCTTGATTCACTTATAAACCTGGACCTAGGACCTAGGTTAAAAGTGAATACAGAAGCTGCTGGTTAGTGACCAACTACTATCCCTTTATCATGCCAGGTCTCATACAGGAGAAAGGCCCTACAAGTGTGTGCAGTGCAGCCGGGGTTTTGCCTCCTCTGGAGTGCTCAAAGCTCACATCAGGACGCATTCAGGCCTAAAGGCGTACAAATGCCTGATGTGTGACACAACGTTTACCACCAGTGGCAGCCTGCGACGTCACATGACCACGCACAGTGACCTGCGACCTTACATGTGTCCTTACTGTCAGAAGACCTTCAAGTCTTCGCCCAACTGCAGGAAGCACATGAAGACACATAGGTTTGGGCTTTGTCACTGTATGTTCTTGGCTGTTTTAAACATTTTTTCCCCCCATGTGTTGGACTGTTTTCCATGTGCTTAGGAGGATTATTATTGTACACAGACTGTAATGGTCAGTTTATTAAACCTTAGGTCCTGTCTCTCTTCCACCTTTCTACCAAACCAGGTATGAACTGGCTCAGCAGCTACAGCCCCAGGCAACAGAAGACCCCTTAGGAGCGAGCACTGTGGCCCATGAAATGCAGGTAGAAATAGAGGCAGACTCCCTCCAGCAAACATCTGCCACCTCAGCAGAGCAGCAAAGCATGCTGGGACTGGGCCAGACAGAAGTTGTGAATGGAGGTCAACAAGTGACACTGGAGACACCCCTGACTGACCAACCACTAGTTCAAGGAGAAGGTAGAAGGAGCTTAATACCAGCTGTGTGTGCAAACAATGGAACAAAATGTAGCAGGGCCTCTGAAAACTGTAATATTTAACTACATGGCATCTCATTTTGGTTTAAAATTTGACATAGTCATTACATATTTCTTCTGATCACCAAGTTGTCACTAAAAACATTTAAAACTTAAACTTGAGAACAGTTTTTTAAATTCAAATCTTAGAAAAAAATTGAAAATGCTCTTAGTTTCACAAAGTGGAGACTGATAGCATAATGCGATTAATCCTGTAATCCAACTACATGTATAAGGGCCTTCTTCTTCTTCTTCCGGCTGTTCCTGTTAGGGGTCACCACAGCGAATCATCTGTTTCCACCTAACTCTATCCTC